AGTTACGGGGAGAGAGAAAAAGGAGGGAGAAGGGAAGGGAGGCGCGGGAGGGAGCGATGCGGGGGACAGAGAGGAGGAAGCTCTTGCATGCACAGCGCTGTCAACAAAAAAAAGAAAAAGGCACCGAAACAGTTACAGCTTGCTTCTATCCTAATTCAAAATTGAAATCACCATATCTGCGCGCGAAAAAGCGACGCGGGAAAAGAAAATCCTACGCCTATTCGTATTCACGCAAAATTCCGAGAGTTTTCCCCGACGTGCCCAAGAACATTCACACACCCAAAAAGGACACGTCGAAGTTCCGCTTATCCCGGAATTCCCAACTACCAGCCCAATTCCCAGTGCGCTCGCTAAGGCGCACGTAAATTCTCATGTATTTCCTGACTTTGCAAGAAGAAAAACAGAACTCAACAGTCGAAAAAGCTCTCAAAAAGGAAAATGCAGCACCCGAAAGCAAGAACTCAAAACGGGGTTTTCCTGGGGTTGGTATGATACAAGCAAAAGAAAGGGTACGAAAGATGGCACGGGGTCGGGAAGTGGTTCGTCACACGCTCCTCAGCCGTCACAACCGTCTCCTCCTGCCCCGACCCCCGAACTTTGGCGACTGGGATGACACGGTCGAACAGGACACCTCATCCCTGCACGCCATCGCGCCATCTCCGTTGCGTTTCTTGTCTGGCATGACTGCCGTTGCTTGGTAGCCGTCCCAGCCCACATGTGCGAGTGGGCGCCGCTCCACCAGGAACTCCGACGCGCAAGAACCCGAAAGGCAGCCGAGTCTCCAACTCGCCCCCCCCCCCCCCGCGCACCCAGCCGCCTGACCACACAGGAGGCGCGCGTTCTTCCGCCAGTGCTCCGCCTGCCGGTGTCCCAAAACCCTCATTTGGTCCCGGGCAGGGCTCTGTGCATCCGAGAGCATTCCCGAGCACGTGGCGACGAAAACTGAGAGGAGACCGCTTGTCCGCCGCGACCTCCTCCCGAGTTTCCAGTCCAAACCGGGCCTCCGCGCGAGGTCTCCCGAAAATGCCCAGTTGCAGGCGGGCGGCTCTTGCTATTTCGGGAGTGCTCTCGGGACCCACATTCTGACAGCTCCCGAATTCATTCTGACAGGTTGAACTCGGGAGCTGGTGTGGCGATGCTGCACTCCCGAAAATCGCCAAGTCGGGTGTAGTGTGGCGAGGCCCCCAGTTTCTCTTTTTCGTCCCCCCACGGCCGCTGACACCTTTGTAGTGCTTTTTCACGACTACAGTCGCAGTGTAGTGGTGGGATCAGACCTTAAACAGCCCGGCCCTAACCATTGCACACTCATTTTATCCTGCTCATCGACACGTTTCTGGATTCGAACTTGGGTCTATACGCCTCGGTCGTGCACGCCTTCACTGCTACCAGATTCACGATGACACTACGGGCTGCGGGCCCGCGGTATGTCAGTGCATCACACACACGTTTCCTTCTGAGCTTAGGTGCCGCACCACGTTCCTACCTACAACTAGGCGATGCTAGTGGGGCACGGCCCCAGATGTACAGCGGTCTACGGCTTTTGTGCATCACACACACGTTTCCTGCTGAACTTACGTGCGGCATAGCGTTCCTGGCTAGTGGGACTTGGCCCCAGTTGCATGTGGGCCGAGACCCCGGGACAGGACCCCTCCCATCGCAGCAGCAAACTTGAAATGACTGTCCCCACTGTGCTCTGGCGGGATCCCGGCTGTCCGGCGGCGCGCAACGAGAGCAAGAGAGGCTACCGGCGGGGGCTGCCGTGAGGGGCGCTCTTGGTTCTCGCTACCTCCTTCTTCCCGCGCAAACTGCGGGTGGGTTTTTTCGGGTCCAACTCCCTTCGGAACGGTTTTCACTTCGGGTTCGAACTCACGTCGGCACGGTTCTCGCTTCGGGTCTAGGCCTGGCAACGGAACTGCCGTCCCGTGGGGTCGGTTGGCCTGACCCGAGGGGATGAAGACGATGGCCATAGCTTGTGCTAATGCTGCTGTGGCCATAGCGACGAGCAAGCGGGCGCGAATTCCGGCAGCGACCGGTAGCAAACGACTGAGGAATAGGGTAGGAGCGACCGCAGCCGTGGGAAAGAGATCACGTGGTCGTTCGTCTTCTCCATCTCCTGTTGTCCCTTCTACCCTGGTTGGTCGTCTTCATCCTGATCGCCTCGCTTCCGCCATATCCGCTGCTTCTGGTTCCCCTTCTCTCGGCTATGGCCGCCTCCCTTCCTCGTTGACTGATAGGAGAAAGACTGCCGCGCCGGCACTCCAATTATTGGCGCCGTCAACAGTCTCGCCCTCGTCGTTGTTGTTGGGAGTTTCTGGTGTAAAAAAAGGCCGACGGGATCCCGGCGAGGGCAGAGGTAGATTTGCACCGACTTTCCTGATCGGGAATCACTTTTTGGCCGGAACGACGGGCTCGCTCTCGACGACGGTTGGGTCGGCGGAAGTTGCGCCAACTTTCTTGATCGGGAATCACTTTCTGCCGGGAACGTCGGGATCGCTTTCGACTGCTGGATCGGCGGAATCTATGCTGTCACGTTTTTTTAAGAAACACTGTAAGTTAAGGAAAACGAAAACAAAATATAAATGACAAATGGAACACTGCAAGCATAAAAAAAGCGATTCGTAATTGGAAAAAAGGGGGAGGAGGGCGTGATTCTTTCTTTTTCTTTTCTTTAAGAGAAAACCCAAAAAAAACCAGATATTTATTTCGATCATCAACTGCTCCTCCTTTTTTTTCTTCCTCATTTTTTGCTCGCTTCTGGGTCCCACGAGCAAAGAGTGGGTGGAGTAAAAGGGGGCAAAAAAGGAAAAAAAGGAAAAAAAGAAAAAAAAAAAAAAGAAAGGAAAAAAAAGAAAAATAGTTCCCTATCCGTTATCAGTCAAACCTCGACTTACCAAAGTTAACAACAGATTAAGCATCTAATTACGTAATAACCAGTGACACGTGTGCGATTTCGAGCATGGGATCACCCTTACGTCTCTTAGGGCCCTCGCTCCACTGCTCACCACATGCGCAAAAGACAAAGTATGCCGGTGTATATTTCCATATTCTTGCGGCAGATTCCTTGTCATTTTCCAACTTTTGGCGCCACCATTGCTTGTGCGAGCAGAGCAATTGGCGCCACCATTGCTTTTGCGGGTTTCTGAGTTTTTTGTTTTGGTTCATCCGAGCTTGTTCAATAAAGACTACGGGCAGATGCGTTGTTATCTAGCGATGGGCCTTGCTATTCTCTATTCTATTCTCTCTTCTATTCTCCATTCAATTCTCTATTGTATTCTCTATTCTATTCTCTATTCTATTCTCTATTCTATTCTCTATTCTATTCTCCATTCAATTCTCTATTGTATTCTCTACTCTTTTCTCTATTCTATTCTCTAGTCTATTCGTTTTCTTTCTCTCTTATTAACCAGGACTCTGGCTAACACGTAAACACAGGCAGTTGTCTAAGCAGAGTTTTCCTGAGCTTGGAGAACGAATGAATCCGGAAGGGGGAGGGAGGGGAGTCATTTGCTTCATTTTCGAGAAATGGAATGGCAATTTCGAGTCAGGTCTTATCGCAATACCTTTTTTTCTTCCTTCTTTTTCGCCCCCCGTTCCCCTCCCCTTCCCCCCCCCCTTCGC